TTAATATATTTTCTCTCGTTAGTCAATTTTGGCTGCAGTGATGCTGTGTAACATGTGCAGATTTTCAGCGCCATGCAACCACAGACATTTATTTCTGGATCACAGGTCTGTAGTCTGCTGAGTTTGGCTGGATTTGGCTGTAAGCTGTTGGTTGGCCTCAGTTGTGTGTCAGATGTCTACTCAGTCTGGGCCCACAGCTGTCTGGGGCACGAGTGTGCAGGAGGGTGCGGGCACACTCAGTGCTCTTAAAACCCCCTCTCAGAACTCTCTTCCACCTACAATCCAACAAGGTGTATGACTACACCCCCAAATCCACAGTGCCTGGGAAATGAGATTCAAGCCAGATCTGACAGGAATATTCCAGTGTATCTTATATATGAAATTGTGGGTTTATATATATTATACATACATATGTATTGTACGTAGACAAATTAATTTTTCTCTTGGGTGCTATGAAAACTAGAAAATAGGATTCTTCTCCTCCTCTTCCTCTTCTTCTACTATCCTCCCCGCCCCCCCCACCTCCTTCCTTGGATTAGGGGAAGAGAAGGGGCATCTGAACATTTGGTCTTGTGTGTTACTGGACTGCCTTGTTGCTTGAAGGGTTTGGTAGACTACTTTGAAATTAGGTGGGAGGATCGACATTTTAAAACTGTGATGAGCATAAATTTTTTTCAAGATTTATTTTTCATTTATTTGAAAGAGTTAAAGAGGAAGAGGGACAGAGAGAAATCTTCCATCCATTGGTTTTACTCCCAAATGGACACATGGCTTGGGCTGGGCTAGGCTCAGAGCCAGGAGTCTGGAGCTTCTTCTGCTTGGGCCATCCTCTGCTGCTTTCCCAGGCACATTAGCAGGGTGCTGGATCAGAAGTAGAGCAGCCGGGTCTCGAACCAGCACCCATATGGGATGCCGGCATCGCAGGCAGGGGCTTAAGCTGCTATGCCACAGTGCCGGCCCCCATAAATAATCTTAAATGACTAAAGTTGTAAGTAGTTTATTGTTGTTTTTAAGAACTAATCCATGCCATTTTATGTTAATTGTAATACATGTATTGTTGCACATTTGTAAACTGTAAAATTTATATGCATTTATTACCTCAGATGGTAAGATATAAGTTCATATGTATAAGTTTGTTTTCCTAGTGTTTTTGAGGTTACTGTTTTTAGTGCTGAGAAAACTCTTGCTGTCTTAACTCCACTCCTTGAAAAGTATTTATTAGACTTCTTACGGTTATGGATAGAAGGGCATTCCGTAGTATGAGGTGCTTTGATATTACGATTTAGGAGTTTTAAATTTAAGGTAAAATTTATTTTGGTATAAATATGAACAAGGAAAACAGTCTTGGTCAGAGATCAGACAAGTACAGATCAGTGCCCTCCTAGGTCATCTGTGAGCATTTAATCTGTTTTGTGTATTTGCAACACAGGACTGCCTTTCCTTGTCATCATCTAGTGCACGCCAGGTCTGCATGTTCTACCTCACATCCCAGGGAGGGGAAACACATCTAACAGACTCCCTCAAGCACCAGCAAGAAAGTGTACTTATCCTGAGTTACTTTCATCATATATTCCAAAACTAACATGCGGATTATATGTTGTTTTAGATTTCCCATAGAACTCATTTCCTTTGGGATAATTATGTTATCTGGAAATAGAATTCGTTTGCTAGTGTACAGATAAAGCAAGCATGTGGGATGGAGGTCAGGTGATAACGTGGCAGTGCTGTGATTATATGCTGCTGCTAATTACAGTGTGTGTACCATGCTGTGCATGCAAATGCTGATGCAGTCTGTTTTCACTTTGCAAATGTCCAGTTCTCGTGGATATTATACTACACTAGTAAAGTGTCCAGATGGGGCAAGCATTATTTTTCCAAACAACATTGCCTTAACTTTGATTCAAAAATAGAAGTCTTAGTATTATTCTCTTTTCTTAATTGGTTAAGAAAATAAAGAAACCTGGGCCAGTGTTGTGGCACAGTAGGTAAAGCTGCCGCGTGTGACTCTGGCATCCCATATGGGCACTGGTTTGTGTCCTTGCTGCTCCACTTCTGACCCACCTCCTGCTAATGGCCTGGCAAAAGCAATGGAAGATGGCCCAGATGTTTGGGCCCATGCTCCCCACTAGGGAGACCAGGGTGAAGTTCCTGGCTCCTGGCTTTAGCCTGGCCCAGCCCTGGCTCTGTGGCCATCTGGGAAGCGAACCAGTCAATGGAAGATCTCTTTGTCTCTGTAGCTCTGACTTTCAAATAAATAAATATTAAAAAAAAAAAAAAACACCAAGAAAACAATCATTACTTGTGATTACGAGGAGTAGCCTGTTAGTTTGTAAAGCATGAGATAGCATGAAGTAATACAAGTGTAAATTTTGTACCTGATCTTAATTTATCTCTGGAATTTTTTTTAAAGATTTATTTTATTTATTTGAAAGTCAGAGTTACACAGAGAGAGGAGAGGCACAGAGAGAGAGATCTTCCATCTGCTGGTTCACTCCCCAATTGGCTACAACGGCTGGAGCTGCACCGATCTGATCCGATCCGATCTGAAGCCAGGAGCCAGGAGCCTCCTCCAGGTCTTCCCATGTGGGTGCAGGGGCCCAAGGACTTGGGCCATCTTCTACTGCTCTCCTGGGCCATAGCAGAGAGCTGGATTGGAAGTGGAGCACCTGGGACTCAAATCGGTGCCCACATGGGATGCTGGCACTGCAGATGGTGACTTTACCTGCTACGCCACAGTGCCGGCCTTTGGAATTTTATATTTTAGATTTAGGCAGGCATTTGTGCATCTATGATTATGTTCAAATATATTTATGCTTCATTCCAATAGGAAGATTTGTAATGTAAATCTCAGCAAAGGGTTACTTTTATGTTAATAATATAAGGTGGTATTTTATGTTACACTCTGAACTGTTGAACAAACACAGAATTTTACATGAAGTGTTTACCAAGTATATTTTTAAAATATATAGAAAAGAGTGCCTTAAAACGAAACCTACCTGAAATGATTGGGTAAGGCTAGTGTGTTGTGAGACTGTTTTTCTTTCTACTTTGTCGTTGTTAACCATGTTTTTTTCCACAATGAATCTGTTTTATTCTTATGATAGGTAAAGTGGCCATTATTAGAGAAAGACTATAGCAATAACTTTAGTGATCTTTATTTGCTGACTTACATAAGTCATTTATATGCAATCAAAAGAGATTGAGCAGATGTGATGTGCTGTATTTGCCCTAGATGGAGTGCTTTCTAAGATTTTGTTTAGCAGTGGAGAAGACTCATGAATAAGTTTCTGTGTGATAATTACTTTATCCATGTTATTTCCTGTTTTTTTTTTTTTAATTTATTTATTTATTTGAGTGTCAGAGTTACACACAGAGAGGAGAGGCAGAGAGAAAGAGAAGTCTTCCATCTGATGGTTCACTCCCCAGTTGGCCACAAGGTCCAGAGCTGTGCTGATCCAAAGCCTGAAGCCAGGAACTTCCTCCCTGTCTCCCACACAGGTGCAGGGACCCAAGGACTTGGGCCATCTTCTACTACTTTCCCAGGCCACAGCAGAGAGGTGTATTGGCATCCCATATGAGCACTGGTTCAAGTCCCAGCTGCTCCACTTCCAATACAGCTCTCTGCTGTGGCTTCAGACTTCCTTCTGGAAGTAGTGGAAAAGTTTTGAGGCAAAATTATTCCTCACTTCTTTTTAGAGAACTTTATTTTAAAGGTAGGGTTTTTTTTTTTGTTGTTGTTGTTGTTTTTTTTTAAATACTGTTTTTTTCTCTGTTTCCTGACTAGGACATGTATTCCTCTGAGAAACCTTGTACAGATTTTGGTGTAATATCTGATTGGGACAGCATCTGGAGACATTTCCAGTCATGAGTGAGTATGCTTTTTTGTTTCATTTCAGTTATCTCGGAGCATTTGCAGTGTTGTGCTTACAAAAAGAAAAGATGTGTTACTGGGCAAATTGGAATTACGTTATTTCTTCAGAGGCTGACTCTAATCTGATGTCACCCGATACTGTGCACTTGTCTCTATGGAAAAAAAGAGCTAAGTTCCAGTTGTTCTAAGACGGTAGATGTGGTTGATGAAATCTGCCGTTAGTTTTTTGGTTGATTTTGTTCTGTTACCTAAAATTTTCTGTTGTCTACCCTTTGGAGCATGACTCTTTAAAAGTAGGAGCAGGGAACATTGCATGTGACCATAGTTAGAGGTTTCACTGTGTGAAATTTAGTAATTGTGTAACATGGGTTAATGTTATATTTAATTAAAAGAATTCCAGTGTTTTTATTAATGTCTTTGATAGAACGAAGAATGCAGGCTCTTTTGGACTTAACCAAATTTGATGCAGATTTTTTCTTAGTTCATAAAGGCATCTTATATGTAATATTTTCTTTTCCATTCCTTTCTACTTCTGCTTGTAAATGGAGAATGAGATTTTACTATTTTGTGTTAACTGTTTATTTTTAGAGGGTAAGGAAGGAATCGAAATTTCACCCAAACTAGTATCTTACAGCAGTTTTGAAATACAGATTTGCTGATTATGGAAAGTTTGGGATGGAATGAACATTTCCACAATGGAATAGAATGTTAGAAGACTTAAAATTTTTCACATAATATTTATATTGATTGTATTTACCTTAATATGAAGTAGGGCAGCTTTGCTCATCACTTTAAGTAAGTAGGTAGTTGATAATGGAAATGAAGCTGTTTAAAACCTTTGAGTGCGTTCTACTGAGAGTAGTATTGCAAATGCTCTTTAATGTTTCAGTGGTGTACTCTTGTGATTCACTTTGAATAAACAAAGATGGTTGCTACATGGGTTCAAATACAGATTAAGAAAGAAGCAGCTTTGTTGTTTCTGCTCCATTCATATGAAATTTTGTGATACTATTTGTTTACTGTAAAGTGCTCACTACTGAAGGTGGTGATGAGTTCATGAAAATTATGAGAATGTTTAAATCTGGAAAATTAACAAAATTTTATTTTATTTATATATATTTTAAAGATTTATTTTTTTTTCGGAAGGAAGAGTTACAGAGAGGCAAAAGGCAGAGAGACAGAGAGAGAGAGACAGAGAGAGAGAGAGAGATCCAGAGGTCTTCCATCCACTGTTTCACTCCCCAGATAGCCGCAGCTACTGGAGCTGGGCCATTTCGAAGCCTGGGTCTCCCACATGGGGCCCAAAGACTGGGGCTGTCTTTCACTGCTTTCCCAGGCTGTAGCAGAGAGATAGATCCTAAGTGGAGCAGCCAGGACTTGAACCAGTGCCCATATGAGATGCTGGCACTGCAGGTGGTGGCTTTACCTACTATGCCACAGAGCCGACCCCCAAAATTTTATTTTGTAATTTTGGTAGAAATTACACTTATACAGATGTGAGTTCTTTAAAGACAGGTGCCCTGTCCAATGTCTTTCATGAACTTTTGTGTTTGATAAAATTTATTCTGTGTTGCTGCCCTTGAAAAGTCAGCCCTGCCAGTTAAGCAGTTAATACCTTGTGAACCACATGGCATTTCTTATGTTTAAATTACAGTGGTTGTATTCTATTTGCAAGATTTTTGATTGGTTCTTCTCTGTATCAGTTTTTTTTCATTTCTGCTTATTTATAGTTATTTGGCCCCTTTTTATTATTTTACCTCTGTGAATCTTTTAAATGCTTATTTTAACGTGTTCTTCAGATCATTTGATAATTTAAAAATTTGTCTATAATGAATTTATGTTGTGATGGTTGATATTGTGTTTTCGTAATGTTCTGTAAATTTGCAGGCACATTCCAATAGAGGCTTTTTTTTTTCCTTTGTCCTGTGTCTCCCTCTGTATTTATTTTTGTGATTTGCCCTGCTGGTCTAGCAGATTTGTAGTTGTTTCTGCCTGGCTTTGGTGATCACAGATCAGAATCAGGTCTGTGTTGGTGGATCAGAGCCCCAGCCCCATGGGGACGCTGGGGACATCACAGATTTAGTCACTGAGTCAGCTGGCATTAGGTCAGCACCTTTCTATAAGCTGAAGTCTCAGTGCAGTTAGCAGAAGTCTTTTTCAATCTACTTTCATAACTGAAGACTGCCATCTCAGCCGCTGGTTTTAAGCAAAGAGCTTGGCTACCCACCCTGCTTCATCTGACACAGTTTTATTTACAGTTACCCCATAGGGGTAACTGTGCTTCTTCCAGATAAGGGCCTGAGTCCAGTCAGCTTTTGGGTTCAGCTTGCCTCATGCTTTGTGTTACTGTTAGATCTATGGAAATGTTTAACATGTTTTAGGGGCATAGCTATGTCACTTTAGTGATTTGTTTTCACATTTTGTCTGTTATTTTGCTGTGTTTGTTGTGAAGAAAGGAGAGCAGTGCCAGAGGTGGGGGTGTGTTAACTGCTGGTATTAGAAGAGCATCCAGACTCCTTATTTTATATTTAAGATTCTGTTTTTACAGCTTCTGCTCAGTTCCCCAGTTCCTAAAGCTCTTCAGTGTCATCTGTGTACCACTTCTGTGCCGGGTGAGCCCCGCTGTACTTCTGTGTAGCACTCTGCTTGCCTCATTCTAGTTCCTTGCTATTATACTATGCAGCATCTGCTTATATGTTTTTAAGGGCAAAGACTACTTTATTGCTTGTATCAAACACTGCTCCTGGTACTTAATAGGTGCTAAATATTGCAGAGCCATGGGTGTTCCCAAGTAATTTTCATAGTATGTGGTTAAAAGAATTGAAAACTATTCTATATGTCATTATTTTTAGGTGAAATGTGAGCTGTTTCATGAGAATGTATGTGTGTATAGAGGGTGGCATAGGATAATGTGTTCCAGGGGGTGGAGCAGTGTGGGAAAAGCATGAAGGTCTGACTTCACGTAGGTGTTTCTAAGTAGACATCCTGGATTCTAGAAATGGGAAGGGAGATTGAAAAAGCTGGAGGAGACCAAATCAGGACCCAAGTCATTTATATCCTAGGAAGTTTGGACCGTATCCTGTAGGGATTAAGGAGCTAGTATTAGAAGATTTCAGTTAGGGGAACACCTTACTAAGATTTTACTCTGAAAAAATTATTCTGACAGACATTTTGGTTAGATGTCAATTAAAAAGACGGATTACACATGCAGTATTTGCTTCTTTTAACTTTGTCTTAGTTTTCACTTCTTTTCATGTTCCCTTTAAATCAGATTGAGTTACAGTTTCTTTTTCTTGCCAATCTGATGATTTTCTTTAGCACAATAAATTGTTTTTAAGCAGACCACTGTAATAATAGGTTAGTGAGTATTGTAACAGACCTGTATGCAGCAGTTCCTAGGGAATTATAAGTCCTCCTCCTCCCCGCCCCCGAAAGTGGGAACTTAGTATATGCAGAATTCCTGTTTTGGGAAAGAAAATAGAAGTACAAGCCGGCGCCGCGGCTCACTAGGCTAATCCTCCGCCTAGCGGCGCCGGCACACCGGGTTCTAGTCCCGGTTGGGGCGCCGGATTCTATCCCGGTTGCCCCTCTTCCAGGCCAGCCCTCTGCTGTGGCCAGGGAGTGCAGTGGAGGATGGCCCAGGTGCTTGGGCCCTGCACCCCATGGGAGACCAGGAGAAGCACCTGGCTCCTGGCTCCTGCCATCGGATCAGTGCGGTGCATCGGCCGCAGCGTGCCGGCCGCGGCGGCCATTGGAGGGTGAACCAACGGCAAAGGAAGACCTTTCTCTCTGTCTCTCTCTCTCACTGTCCACTCTGCCTGTCAAAAAAAAAAAAAAAAAAAATAGAAGTACAGTTAAACAGTGGGATTATATGTCATTAAAGTTAAGACAGAGTTTACAAATCTAAAATTTGGGTGAGAATAATGGGTTACTAATTTTTTTCCTTAGTATTTCTCTGTAGATTAAAAGATTAGATACTTATGTGTATGAATGGATTTACCTATGAGGATTTCTCAGCTCTTTGCAGGTAATGAAACACAGAACTTGGTAGTAGTTGTTCAGCGCGTGGGAGAAACTGGTGAAGCTTGGAGGTGTCTGGCTCTGATATCTACTTTGAAAGCTGAGGGAATCAGTTTTTCTGCTTACCCAGACCATTCTTGACCCAGTAGATAAGTTGTCCCAACTATAAGGCCTATGAAATTTATAAATGCTTATGTTTTTCAGTTTCTATTCTAGCTGATATTTAGCCTTTCAAATTCTGAGGTTGAATATGTATTTTGTACAAAGTGTGTTTAGATGATGCTACTATGTTCTTGCATCTTTTATTTGGGGATGGTTTGCTACAATCCACAGAATATCTTTTGGTTTTCAATAAACTGTTCTTATTTTCCTACATGTGCATACTTTGCAGTGTTTCACACTTACCAGATTCATTCATTTTATTTATGAGATAGTAACAAAGATGAAATAAAGTCGTTATACTTGAAGTGTGGTCGTAATTTGAAATCAATCTCTTAGATCTTTAGTGGAGATTGTAATAACAAGGGAAGTTTATGTGAAAAGGAAATGTTAAACTAAATAATGATTATTTTGATGTAATATGTTTTCAAAAAGCCAAGAAAAAAAAAGTGATTAATGAAGATGCTACTTTATTTTCTTTTTGTCAGGGTGGACTGATCCTTTTGGGATTTACAGTTAAAGTAATCTTTGCAAAATTATTATAGTTAATTCATCATGCAAAAGTTATAAGAATCTAACTTTGCTTTCTTTTTTTTAATATTTTTTTTACCAGAAACCTTTTATTTAAGGAATACAAATTTGCTGCATTTCATAAATACCACCTTAGGAACATAGGATTCTTCCCCTCCGTCCCTGCCCTCCCACTCTTTGAATATTCTTTCATTGGTTCCGTTTCCCCAATACCATGGAAGTTTTGCTCTGTAACGAGGCCTGTGATGTTATTCCTAAGGGGGCCTTTCTGGATGTGAATTGTCTTCTTCCAAGTGGACAATTTAGGAGTGAATCTGGTAAGTTGCAGTGTTTGATCCTGCCCTTTGGCCTAAATAATGGAATGAATTTTTTGAGGTCACATGTGGGTATGAAGCATTTCTCATTCAGCTGCAGAAAAGTAACTGGCAGTGAGTAATGTGGGATGTGGTATAACAGAATAGCAGTAGAGATCTTGACGCACTGGAGCAGTGCACTAAAAGTCCATGCAGCAGTGAAGAACAATTTGCTTCAACATTTGTTAGAGCAGGTAATATAAATGATTGAATAGATTACTGAGTCCCACAGTGGTGGCATAAAGTTTCTTCTAAATCTTAGGTAAAAAAAATCCTCCTGTAAGTAGTAGGAGATTTTTACTAAGTATTGGCTAAAAATTCTCTCTAGGAAATAGCCTATATATATATTTGTTTATTTTACAAACCCTCGTGTCGAGGGCTGACTTTCAATAGGTCTCAGCTAGGGAGCTGCTCTGCTACGTACAAAACCCTGACCAGAAGCAGGTTGTCTATGAATGGTTTAGCGCCAGGTTCCCCACAAGTGAGCATTGTGTGATTGCATGACGGATGAGATGGTGCCCCGTCTCCCAGGATGAAGGGCTCTCAGCACCTGACCCTGGTCCTCACATGCAACGTGGGGCTCGGTGGGCTGCTGGCAGGAACTGCTGAGGACCAGGAAATAGCCTATTTAGATATATATCCTGTTTTATGGAAATAACTGTATACCTCAGAAGTTGGCTGAAACAAAGCAAATTTAAGTTGAGCTGAATATTAAATACAGCTGTATTGTTGCTGGTGTTGTGGTGTAGTTGGTAAAGCTGCCGTCTGTTACACCGGCATCCCTTGTGGGCCCTGGTTTGTGTCACTGCTGCTCTACTTCCAATCCAGCTCCCTGATAATGGCCTGTGAAAAGCTGTAGAAGGTGGCCCAACATTTAGGCCCCTGGCACCCACATGGGAGACTTAGATGAAGCTCCTGGCTCCTGGTTTTGTCTTGGGTTAGCCCTGGCTGTTGGCGGCTATCTGGGGAGTGAAACAGTGGATGAAAGATTGCTCTCTCTGTAGCTCTTTTAAATAAATAAATAAGAAGCCTTTTTAAGAAAAATACACTGTGTCATTTAATGGAATCTTAAAAGAAATGTGTAAGTGTATTTAGTATTCCTTTGTTATATTGAGACTTATGTTTGAGAAATTTAAATTTTTCAGTGTCAAACATTCTTTTTTTTTTTTTTTTCTTTAAAGAGTTATTTATTTGAAAGGCAGAGTTAGAGAGAGGGAGAGATCATCCCTCTGCTAGTTCACTCCCCAGGATTGCTTCAGTGGCCCGGGCTGGATCAGGCTGAAGCCAGGAGCATCATGCTGGTCTCCCACTTCGGGTGGCAGGGTCCCAGGCACTTGGACCATCTTTGGATACTTTCCCAGGCACATTAGAGGGAGCTGGATTCCAGGTGAATCAGCTGAGACTGGAACCTGTGTCCATATAGGGTGCCAGCACTGCAGGCAGTGGTTTAACCTGCTGTGCCACAGTGCTGGCACCTCTAGCATTCTTTTTTAAAAACTGTATTTCTTTATTTGAGAGACAGAAAGAGAGCTACCATCTGCTGGTTCAGTAAACAAATGCCTGCAACAGCCAGGACTGGCCCAGGACAAACCTGAGTGCCAGGAATGCAATTTAGGTGTCCTACATGGGTGACAGGGATCCTGTTATGCCCTAGCAGGAAGCTGGAGTTGAGAGTGGAGCTGGGAGAGAGTGGGACTAGCACTCCAGGTGGCCTATTGAGTGCTGGGCCAGACGCCTGCCCAGAGTAAGATTTTAATCCCCATGCCAGACACCCACCCTGTAATTTTCTAAATTCTGAATTGAAGTAAGAGTACCCTAAATTACCAAATGCCTTTTGCTCAGATTTACCAGTTGTTTGTATCTTGTTAGTTTGTCTTTCTCTTTCCTTCACACATATACCTCTAAACCTCTGCTGTTGGTGAACAAAATGGGTCTGTTTGAGGTATTGCCATATAATCAACCTCAAGTGGGAGTTGCTTGGAGATGGACTTTATTTACTTGTGACATGTAAGGAGACAGTGGGAAGATGTATCTCTGGGAAAGCAACTGCCTTCCTGAGAAGCACTTTGCCCAGGTGTTTACAGTAAGGATTAGGGGAATGTCTCGGATTAGAAAAAGGGACGGGGGTGGGCCCTTCCTTCTTGTAGTATACATCTTCATACATTGTGAGTTCAGAAATCTGACTCAAATTGTTTTCCGCAGCTCTCTGTATTTGTGTGGCCTGGCCTTCTTAGTACAGTGGTGCAAGATAAACTTCCCTGGAATGTACTTTGAAAATCATGCTCAAGTTTAAATTGTTTCATACCCTTTGCTCACATTCCTATTTATCCTTTAGACCCAAATCCTACATGCTTGGTTATAGTATCTATAAAATATTGGTTTGTTAGTGAAACATTTTCTGTGAAAATCTTGTTTCCTTTTATTAGAAGTCCCTTAAATTTTTAGCATAAATGTGTTTACTATAGTAGTATATGCTTAGCAGATCTTTTAAATTATTTGTACTAATTATATCTTAAAGTTTCAAACTGGTTAGTATTATAATACTATTATTGTTCAAATCTGTGTAATTTACCTAATTTTTGTAAGCCTATCAGTACAAGTTTTCTTGTAGAGCTACAGTCTGTTGCGTAATATAAATGCCTTTGGTATATAAATCAACTTCTATTAGAATTTTTCATTACAGTACTAGCCAATGCGCTCCAAATGATGTCTTTATACTAGTTTTAAGATCTGCATTCTTAAGGGAACTCTTTAAAATTCTCTCCTTAAATACTAGGTTTTCTGGTGGCAGTACTCTTCAAGTTACCACAGTTGCAGAGACTTGGGTTCATACACGGGTTTTACTGATAACTAGCCGTGTTTGGATGATGTGTAGCTTGATTTCTTTAACATCCTTCTCCCTTACTTATAAATGGGAGGACTGGACTAGATTACACTAGATTAGAAAGAGAAGCCTTCTTCTAGCTCTAAAATTTATGATTAAGTCCTTGAGAATGTTACTGTTTCCAGTTTTGCCTTATAAGAGCGCATCTATTGGCTCAAACAAGAGTATACCCATATTAAGCTAAACTAAGAAAAAACACATGATTTGGGGCCTATTCGTGTTTCTCAGAGTTGGAGTTTGTGTCTTGGTTGCTTTCTGGAGTAATTGTTGCAAATGCAGTCCCACATTCTCTGTTCACTCTATGTGTTCTTGTTATTTACCCCCTGTCCAACTGGTTGGAGGAATTGTTACTGGATTCCCAAAACTGGGCCCACTTGCCCGGTGCACAGTAAGCCAGTTGTTGACACGGTGGTGGTGGAATGAATAGATACATATTGCGAAAGAATAAAGGAGCTAGGCAGCTATCTCTTAGTTCCTGGGCTCCTTGAGGATTTTGAAGTTGGGATTGAGAGGCACGTGTTCCATTTCTGTCCAGGTCCCTGCTTGGTCTGCAGTGCTCGTGGTCCCCTTGGGTTGCTCAGTGATGTTAGGTTCTTTGGGGGAATTTTGATGATGGCAGAGTAGGCTCCAGTCAGGCAGGTTGTGCTTACTTCCTGGAAAAGAAACTCAAGACAAGACGGAACATCAAGATGTTATCTATAGGCAAAATAAATGACCTCATGGGTCTTGTCTTCAGGGACCTTGTAGAGCTGGCCTCACTACTCCCTCAGTTTAGTGAGTTTATCTCAGTAAAAACAGGGCAAGGAAACTTGAAGCGAAGGGAGGGAGGCCAGGAAACTATGGGAGACTAGGACCTGACAGTATCTGGCGGCTGCGTCAGAGTCACTGTGCACTGGTCTCGTTTCATTCTCTTTGGAATTAAAATTCAGAAAGGAATATATGAGGGGCTGGCACTATGGCATAGTGGGTAAGGTTGCCACCTGGGGTGCTGGCATCCCACATGGGTGCTGACTTGAGTCCCGGCTGCTCCACTTCTGATCCAGCTCCCTGATAATGTGGCTGGGAAAGCAGTGGAAGATGGCTCAAGTCTTTGGGCCCCTGCATCCACGTGGGAGAAGCAGAAGAAGCTCCTGGCTCCTAACTTCTGTCTTCTGACCATTTGGGGAGTGAGCCAGCGGATGGAAGATCTCTTTCTCTGTCTCTTCTCTGTAGCTCTGTGTTTCAAATAAAATGAATAGATTTATTTTTTTAAAGAGGGGCTGGAACTGTGGCAAGTTAAGTTGCTGCCTGGGGTGTGGACATCCCATATGGGTGCTGGTTCGATCCTTGGCTACTCTACTTCCGATCCAGCTCTCTGCTATGGCCTGGGAAAGCAGTAGAAGATGGCCCAGGTGCTTTGGCCCCTGCACCCTCGTGGGAGACCCAGGAGACATGCTTGACTCCTGGCTTCGGATTGGCCCAGCTCTGGCCATTGTGGCCATTTGGGGAGTGAACCAGTGGGTGGAAGATCTCTCTCTCTCTCCCTGTCTTTCCCTCTCTCTGTAACTCTGCCTCTCAAATAAATACATCTTTTTTTTAATGAAGGAAATATATGAATTCATGAAAAAATGGAATAAAAGATGTTTGTTTTTCCATAGGTTTTTTTTTTTTTGCAGTACCTTTGATTATGTCAAATCAATTTTCTTAAATATTCATCTTTTATCTTTTTCCATTAGTTTCAAAAAATGGAGTTTGGTTTGATTTTTTACAGTTCTTTTCTTTGTTCTGTACTATTAGAACTGATGTACTGGTTGGGAAAAAAAATCCCTATCTCTTTTCCATGAACTTATTTAAAGCTAGATTTCTATTTGTATTTCTCACTTATCAGAAGATGTAATGGAAAGCAGAGTTTGGTAAGTTATATTTCTTAATATCAACCTGAGTTTTTTAAAAAAATAATGTTTGGACAGATATATATTTTTGGCATTCAATACAAATAGGCATTTTAAAAAAAGAGTTATTTATTTGTGAGGCAGAGTTACAGAGAGAGGTAGAGACAGAGAGAAAGAGCGAGGTCGTCCATCTGCTGGTTCACTCCTCA